CCAGGTCTAAACCAGGTCTAAAACCAAGTCTAAACCAGGTGTAAAACCAGGTCTAAACCAGGACTAAACCAGGACTAAACTGGACTAAAGCAGGACTAAAGCAGGACTAAACAAGGACTAAAACCAGGACTAAACCAGGTCTAAACCAGGTCTAAACCAGGACATAACCTGGACTAAAGCAGGACTAAAGCAGGACTAAACCAAGGACTAAAACCAGGTCTAAACCAGGACTAAACCAGGACTAAAACAAGGTCTAAACCAGGACTAAACAAGGACTAAAACCAGGTCTAAACCAGGACTAAACCAGGTCTAAAACAGGATTAACAGGACTAAACCATGCCGTGCAGACCATGTCTCCTCCTCATCTGTCAATAATATTTTTAGAGACTTGGCCTTTTCATTTTCTTTTAGCAAACAAAACATCTTATGTGAAGATTACCGAGTCTTTGCTTCTCTACAACAAATCAAGTAATCCAAAGTATTCAGATTACATTCCTCACTTTAAGTAATTTAATGGATTCCGTTACAAACTACATTTTGGGGTATGTAATCTGTAATCTGTAGGGGAATACATTTGAAAAGTCACCTTCCCAACACTGTTAATTGGAGAAAGAACTCAGACTCTCAGCTCCAGGTAAAATCTCATCTGAACAGAAACATTAGACATAAGGAAGAGGTTTGATTGACACGTCGAGGCAGGTGAGACATCTAACGACCAACTTGACAAGCCATCATCAGCGCACAGCCTCTCCCCCTGACAAACCCAGATAAGACCCTCCTCGTCCTGAGTCTCTGTGGACGCCTCTATCTCTCCTCCCTCTCCTCTCTTTCTATCATTCTCTCTCTCTCTCTCTCTCTCTCTCTGAAGCCAGGGTCACAGTAATTAGCTTCCTGTTTGTGTACTTGCTCAGATAGTGAAAGCTGAGTGGACTTAGAGGGATTATGTGATACATGTTTCATTTGTGCAACGCAGCACATAATACAGACAGCTCCTTTAAAGCCCTGTGTTTCAGCTTGACCCCAGGGAGAGCTCCAATAATGCTCACACAAGGTTATGAGAATTAGGCCAAGACAAATGAGTGAAAGTACTTAAGTAAACGCACTGTTATTTAAAGGACCACTATAGTACTTGTCATCTGATGATTTCCATGGAGATGTTATTGCTT